TTTCCCAATGCAGTTTGTCTTTTGATTTCTTTACTGCTGGTGCTAAGAGTGTTGACTGTGGAGCCAAGCAAACTGTAACTGTTAACAACCTCAATCTCTTCATCATCCATCCCGATGCTGCCAAATGGCCCAGTGGTGAGAATCTTTGTCTCTTCACATTGAGCTTCAATCCATATTGAAGACCACAGTCCTTTTAAATATAATATATAAAAACCCAAACAGCACCATCATTGAGTCAGTTCTGACCCATCAGTGTAAGAGGCTGAGGACAATGGTCCCAGGGTGTTTCTAAGGCTGCATATCGTCATCGAGCCAAATTGCCGTGTCTTGCTCTCCAAGGAGCAGCTGGTGGATTTAACCACTGACATTTCAGTTAGCAGCCTGTACTTAACCCACTGCACTACCAGGAGCCCTGATTATACCTAAAACCATTGTCTTTGAATCAATTCTAACAAATAGTGACAATTCTGTTTCCAGAGCTCTGGAGGCCTGGATTGGAGAGCTGAACTGCTAGCTCAGAGAGCACGTCTCCCTCCGTACTAACCTCCAGCGACCCTGTGGGAGACTGTGGGAGACTGTGGGAGACTGTGGGACAAAGGGGGCAATCTCCTCCCACGAGACTCAGCCTCTGAAACATACTTGAGCGTCAGCTGTGCATCAGCTCCAACTCAGAGACAGTGAGAGTCTGGTCTCTAGCAGTTCTGAGGCTGTTAACCTTTACAGAAAGACTGTCCACATTTCTTCCTCAAAAGGGAGACCTAAACCATACGGTAAACACAACAGCACCAGGTCTTGCTAAGTCATACATTACAGAGAAGAATTAGGAATACTCCTAGCTTGTGTTGGTCATTCTGCATGCACTCATCCGGCCCTTCAGCACGGGGTAGTGAGACACAGAGAACAGAGGGGCACGGACTTCCTGCATCTCTTTTACAACAAGTTAGACAACACTAAAGCTTGGGAAAGTAAAGGGTCGGCAGCAAGAGGAAGACCCTCAATCAGACAGATTGGCAGTGGCCGTAGCCATGGGCCTCAAAGGTGGCAATGACCATGAGGGGCCCAGGACTGGACAGTGCCTCACTCTGTGTACACAGGTCACTAGGGGCCAGAGCTTGTGCGTCACCTAACAACAGCAGAAGCTCTTTATCACAGTTCAGCAGGCCTGCCCAGGAGCAAAACCAACCTGGAAAGAAACAGCAGAGGTTCTCACCTGAAAGGGCAAGCTGCTTCTCCAGCGCCACAGCTGTGAGGTGGGAAAGGGCCCGTGTGCGTGGCTGTCATGTCAACTATTAAAGCCTTCCACTTCAATAGTAGTAAAAATAGCAAAAAATGAGAACAAATGAATTTTGGGCTTTGTATTTTCAGTACACTTCAAGACTCTTGATCCTTTTTTGTCACTAAAACTGCCACAGCCCTAGCTAGCATCTGTATCTCACCCCTTATCCTGAGGAATCCCTACAGCAGACATTCAGACTGCTAGCTGAAGGATCCCTGGTTCAAACCCATCAGTGGCCCCTCAGGAGAAAGACTGTGGAGCTGAGCTCATGCGGGGATTTACAGCCTCGAATCCGAGAGTGTGGGCAGTCCCCAGGACTGTGAAATCACGTGGGGTGGATGGTCTATACCCCATCCTCCTCTCTCAGCTTGTGCCCACCCGAACTGCTTGGCCTGCCTGATCTAGACGGAACTTCCCAGAATCTGGAGGACCCTGTTTTTAGGAGGATTACAGTCTCAGGTTAAGCTCTGAAATGTGTTCCCACGTGTCTCATTTCTGGGTATTGTCTGAACTGGCAGTCCAGGTACTCTACCTGGGCGTCCTGAGGGCCACCTGCTCCTGCAGGTGGGAGGTATCTGATGCTGACTGACAAGGGGCCACTGTCCAGGACATGTCACTATGAAGGGTAGAGGTCCCCAGAGGCTGTGGAGCAGCACTGGATGTGGGCTTTGAGACAAAGGCAGATGGAGGTCAGGACCCACCATGCCACCCTGTCATCTGGCAGTCCCCACAGTACTGCCCAGGCCCACAAACTTGCCTCCTGGTGACCACAGCACCTCCATACTGCTCTTCATACCCCACATGGGAAGGCACAGGTGAGCTCCATCCCACCTGGCCCTTTCTTCTCACCAGCTGGCCCACAAAGGGCCTAGAGGCCTCAGAGAGAACAGAGAGCAGGGCTCCGGGGTGAAGGGTGGTCTGTCCTGGGGAGTGAGAAATCCAATATCAGATCCAGGTGAGCCACAGGTCAGCTGCCTACAGCACAGGGGCATCCAGACTCACCAAGCCGGGCCTTGCTTGGACCTCACTCATCAACTCCGCACAAGGCCCAGCTGAGAGACTGGCTGTGGTTCCCTCTCCCCAACGTACAAGCAGCACAGCCACTGGCCAGCACACAGCATGGGTCCAGCCACAGACAGCCTCAAGTGTGCCCACAGCTGTAGACTGGGAGAATACCGAGTGTCCCCTGGACTTCCAAGGAATGAACAGAGCCGTTTCAGAAGAAACAAGCTGCCTGATACTTAGATGTGAGATGATGACATCTGGATTCTCTGACTTTGTACTTGGCCTCAGGAGAACCCAGCTGCTTGGGACAGAGACGACGCTGGGGGATTTACAAAGAAGGAGACCTCCCATGCGGCGGATGGACACAGCCATGCTAGTGCACGCGAGTGTTCTAGTGACTGTAGAGATGGCAAGGAACCGGGCAGTGTCCCTTCTGCGGTGTGCGGACTCACCCTGACTCCCAGCTGGGCCCTGAGACTGCGGCAGCAACATGGGGGCAGGACGTGGGCAGCACACGGCAATGGCAGGAGACCTGGGTCCTCACCCCGAGCGAAGTCTCCCCATTCTCTCTGGGAGGACACAGCTGGTCTGAGCCAGGCTGAGCACTAATCAAGGTGGTGAGTGAGACCAGGCAGGTGGATGACCCCATGAAAAGGGCCCAGGAGGGTGACCCTGTGAACAGGCCCCAGGAGGGTGACCCCGTGAACAGGGCCCAGGAGAGTGACCACATAAACGGGGCCCAGGAGGGTGACCCCGTGAACAGAGCCCAGGTGGGTGACCCCGTGAACAGAGCCGTGAACAGGCCTCAGGTGAGTGACCCTGTGAACAGGACCCAGGAGGGTGACCCCGTGAACAGG